TCTCTGAGGCTGCCAAAATTAAATTCTTCTAATTTTCTGATTTAATTCGCTTAAGAACAAATAATATTTCAAGTTTGGAGGGTATTTGATATACTTAAAATTTACCAATTTATTATATCTTTGATCTGAAAAGTGGTCATGTATTTTGAGTACGTTTCTATTATTTGTGTGATTGTATGTTTATTAATAGGAGCGTTACTCAAATAAAGAATTATTTGAGTTTTAGACTAAATTTAAGATAAAGGGTAACTAGAAGGGGCGCAAAGGAAGATTAAAAATTAAGAGGAAAAAAGTTGATGAGTTGAACAAGTGGCTTGACTTGCAAATTTGGCAACTCTGAAACCTGGCCAAAGAAAAGATTATGCACCGGTTTCTTTTCCCTTGAAAAATTGGGATTAGAAACAAAGAAAAAAACCATAAAAGGGAGGCTTTTGGTTATTGGCTTTCCGAGAACCCTTCACCTCCACCTCCACCTTCAAAACCCTATGCGATGCAACACCACGCATCATCCTTTACCTTCATCACCTCACGTACCACACACATACCACGGAGCAACACTCACGCGAAGGAGAAGAGGCCACCAACTTGTTCTTCCTTCACGACTAGATTTCGACATATTTGTTCTTCCTTCATTTATTTTAATTGATTGTATAGATTATTTTCATAATTTAGAACGATGGCTTTTAATCTATTTTTGATGTTTTCATATTTGTGTAGAGGCTAAACACTTTTGATCTAGGCTTTAGATGTAACTGCCGTTTTGCTTGATTTGTTTACTTTATGATATTGTGATTTTTTTGTTAATTAATATTTGATATTCTTGCTTTATTTCATGTAAATCTTTGATCACTACTTCCATGTTTTAAGGCATTAATTAATGGAACGAATGTTGAAGGTTAGCACTAGTTCATGGGAATATTAGACTTAGGTAGTGAGTTACGACAGTATGTACACCACCTTTGTAACTTGTGATTCTAACGTTCTTAATGTGCTTTAATTAATTTCTATAGTTACGACAATATTCATAGGATTAACAAATATAATTAACCTACTCAATACAATTACTAATAAGGAATTTGACTAGGCATAGTCTCCATTTGATGCTTGTTGAGCAGGAATAGTCTCCATTTTGATGTTTGTGTTGTAGTAGAGAAGTGTGGTGAATGGATTTCCTACGATGGCAATTTCATAAAGGAAAACCATGTATTCTGTTTATGTTGTGGTACTGATTTCAAAGCCAATCATATGAAATTACCGTTCATTGGAAGCTGGTAATGCTTCGTAATAACTCAGCATTATCTTCATAGTAATTCATTGTAATTCAAGAGATGTTATGATTTTATCTTGTGCGTGTGAATGGAATGTTGTAGTTACTTGCATTATCTATTTTGTAAATTTTTTTTTAGGGAAATCCAGGACGGTACCTGGCAAGAGGACCCTTATTTTATTAATATAAAAAAAATAACAAAGGACAGTGCTAAGACTTACCCAGACAAAAAGAGTCCGTCTTACAAAAATTTTTCTAAAAAACCCCAAGACGGCTCTGATATATTACCAGTAAGAAACAGCCTGACAAAGAAATATCTACGATTCCATGCCAGTTCTTTTAAAATTAGAAAATAATTTTCTAAGAGACTATCTTACAAATATTATCTAATAATCCCATGACAAATCTATAAATTATGTAAGAGTCTGCCTTACAAAGATTATCTATCATCTCACAGCAACTCTATTAAAGTTCTACCCTAATCTACTTCCCTATCTGATTCTAATAAACGGATAAGATTGCTGATTTTTCCCCAAAAAAAAAAAAAATAAGATTGCTGATTCAAGTGCAAAATTCTCTCAGGTGCACAGGAAGTACATTTGGACTATCAAAGAACAAAGAATTACCACTAGATGCTTGTTTTGACGATCCATCAGCTAGTACATTCACTTCTTTAAAAATGTGATAGATGGAGAAATTCCCACTACATAGGACACTATGAATTTCACTCAACAGTGGATGATACCTCCATGGAGAAATTTTTACCTTTGCTTGGTAGTGGAACTACCACTTTGCTGTTAGTTTGAACTTTGACTCCATTTAACCCTTTGTCCCACACCATTTTAGACCATGCAGTATTCCTTGGAATTCCGCTTTAATGCTGAAAGCATTGCCAATATACTTACATTCTACTCTAATGAATTTTCCTTGTTCTACTCTCACCACATAACCCCAATATTATCCATTTTGTAGATTCTTTTGGTTTCCTTTAAAATATATCCAGAATACAAAATTTCTCATTGTGGTTATACTAATTCAGTGGGCATTAAGAAGGATTTGTAAAATTCAATTACAGTATCTAATAGATTCAAAAATATGTCCACCTACTTCCATGTAACTAAATTTCTACAAGTAAAATTCAATTGGGGGCTAAGTACATGTGCCTATAAATGTTATAATTGAACAACAAGGCGTTTGTAGTTTACCGCAAAATCCAATACAACCAAAATATGTCATTGGTGAAAGAAAACTGGAGGTGAAAGCCTATAATTCCACCAAATTGAAGTAGTGCAATATCGAGTTCAAATGTCAATTTCCTTTTCCAAACTGGATTTTATTTAAATTCTTGAACGGAATCCAATCTCCATGCAGGTGCATCCTTCTTGATTTGAGCTTTTGATACAGAATGACATCACCATCTGGCTCTAAATCCATCATGATACGACTATTTTATAAATGACTGGGGGCTTAATTTTGTCATAGATGGCCTACCAGTGGATGAAAGTGCTCCCGCTGGACTAAACATAGCGTAACAAGGAAAAAATAAAGAAAATAATTATCAATGTAGTAACATTCCTAATTAAAAGAAACATAGAAGAAAAGATATGATTGGAATACAAACCAATTTTCCACTCAACAAAATGTGAGCATCAAAAATGAAATGAAAGATGTTGTATTTAAATGTAGGAAGAATGGTGCAGGGGGAATCATCCTCACCTGATTAATCAAAATCACATAATGTCAAAAATGCATATAAACGGATGCTACAAGTAGCACTAAATGTAATGTCAATCCAAGTACTTGTAGCAGATAGATCGGTCATGCTATCTAAATCAAGAAACTCCACTCTACTACCATCGAAGATAGATGTAGCAAAACAATTTGCAATTTTGTATGTAACAACTACACGTTCGCAGCTTTTATTAATGAAACAAAAATTATAAAATTCTTTCCACTCATCACCTTCAAACCTTTTTTTTTTTTTTTGCTGAAAGTCATACGCTAAGTTAGAGACTACCAATTTACCAAAGGCCTATCAAGAATTCAAGTCGTGTACAAAATGAAACTCTATTTGTGAAGACTACTAATTTACCAAAGGCCTACAAAGATTTCAAGTCGTATACAAAATGGAACTCTATTTGTGGGGGGGTGGGGACGAAGAATAATGCCAACTAAAATTCCCCTGCAAAATCAATCCCACCCAAGTACAAAACCAGAGGGCACAGTGGCAACCAGAAAAACAAAGAATCCAGGTGAGAAGAAGTATGTGCGCACACTTCAAGCTTCGACATACTGTTGCAAAACCAGCACAAGATATATGCAGACTTCCACAGTAACCTCGGAACCAACAGAGATGACTATGGTGTTGGGTAACATGAAACTGAAATCTGGCAACCCTGCACGTTTTTATAGCAACAAATCCAGAAAAAGGAGTTTTGCAGACGATAGCAATCTCGTAGATGAACCAAATTTCGTTACTGCAACCATCAAATAAGAAAGTAAGAAGATAATTTGTCTATCCCGTGAAAATCAAAAGAGTGCGGAAAATTCACAGTAAGACGATCGTTTATCTAAGGATTTCTATCTCTTAACTCAAACCAAGCAAAGAACACATTATCTATGAAAGATTCGAATTAAACAACAACTCACACTAAGAATAGTAAGGACACCATTCAATATACTCGATCAGTCATCATTCAAGAGACTCAAGAAAGGTAGGAGCTAACAAAGCTCAACTATGAAGGAATACTATTGATTAGTAATCTCCATAACCAACAAAGATATGCAACACATACACTATCTCAAAATGCTTATGCCAAAGCACAACTCATCCAACAAAAGTAGGACAAACCTCACAATGGAACTCATGAACACACACATCATGAAGTCGAAAACCAAGCCAAAAGAAAGGCTCATCAATCGAACTACTAGAAGTAGTATGAAAATAAGAAGTTTAGTTTTAAAACAATTATATCAAGAAGCATACTTGAAAAAGAACGGTTTCTGGAAGATCAAAAGATCCAAGACAAGATGAAAACCCTCTTGGTTAAATCATACTTGACACGAAAAATGGACACATCATTTAATAAATTCCTCACAGGAAAAACTCTCAATAGAGACAACAAAAATGACCACTCAAGGGTGCTTTAATTTTCGGCCATCCTACCCTATTTATATGCTATAAATTTCAGCCAGCACCAAAAAAGAAGACCAACTAGAACTCTCTAATCTTATCTCACGCAGGAGTAGAAATAGAAGAGTATTTGATCTCTTTGACTCTATCGAAAATCTAGGAAACCTTATCTAAATGACTTATTCGCAAATAGGATAATACTTAGAAGGAATCTAAGACTCCTAATCAAAACACTCTAGTTTAATTCAGTCCACATGACTTATTTAACTAGATAAATTCAAAAATTAACTCCTAGACTAGATAATATTCTAAATCTCGAAATTCAGCTCCCAAATTATTGAATTAAAATGTCTTGAACGCCCTTCCAAAAGTGGAATATTGGTCTTGCGCCCCTTAAGTTGTAGAAAACTCCAATTTACTCCAAAACTTGTAGAATTCTCTTTATTGACTCCAAAAGATTGGAAAAACACTTGAAACAATTAAGATAGTTTGTAACCTATCCAATTGTGTAGCAATGGACTCAATCTTGAACACTTTGATCAAATAGGCCGTCCATTCAAGAACTTAAATGACTCTTCTCTCTAGCTTGATCAATGATCTTCATGGAGCACCTAGAGTCAAACTCCTTTGATACCCTTGAGCACTTATTTCCATGAGTGAATCATCTCCTTTGGTTTGAACCCCAAAGTTAATGAAATTCTCATCATCTTGATCATAGCTCTCTTGAACCAACTCCCTATCACATAGGTAGTCAAGATCCATCCTTTCTTCCTTAATTGGCCTGCAAAGTAAACTTGGCATTCCAAAACTAGAATGAAGAACTAGCTCATTCCCCTCACTAGGAGAATCACCATGGAAGGTTACATGATTCTCATCATCCCCTCCTTCTTTAAGAGGATTCGTCCTCGAATCATCAACCTCTAAACCTGCACAAGGAACAAACGAGATATAAGGGTTAGTAAAATCCCCACCTCACCACACTCTGATTTTCTCTCATTGCGTGCATCTTTTTATGTTTCCACGCTATTTTCATGGTTTTCTCTCGCCTCAAGTCTTACCTCAGCGCGACCCTTTTTACTTTCTTGCGTCACTCTCTTGACTTTTTCTCTCCCTTGTGTATAGGTTATCTTACGTCTTTTCTCTCGCACAGATTCAGCTTCTTCATAAGCCAAAGGCTTAAGAATATATTTTCTGTCCTCTTTAGTAAAGACAAAGATATTCTTTGAGCAATTGTGCACAGTATCTACATCTGATTACCAAGGACTACCTACCAAAAAAACACAAAGAGACATAGGAATTACATCAAAGTAAATTTCATCCCTATACTCACCAACTTGAAAAGATACCATGGCCTTCTTAGTGACATTCAGAACCATCTCTTCACTCAACCATTGAAGCTTGTATGGTCTAGTATGCAAATCCATCTTGATTCCGTTTGCTATGCAAAATTCCTCACTTATACAGTCAGTGCTTGATCCACCATCGATTACCAAATCAACTTCATTGGACCACCCAACCGAACACTTAGTACGGAAGATACATGTCCGTTGATCACCATCTTCAGCGCCAAACACCAACCCTTGATCCTTAATTGGACCATTCCAACCACAAGAAGTATCATGCTCTCTCTCCACATCTAAGGCAGCATAATATGCCTCATAGAGCCTTGATTGCCTCCTTATCTTTGGGTGTTGTTTGAACCCCTTGTCCAAGCCATAGTGAAAATGATCTGTCAACATGTAGTCATTCTCATCCACCCCCGAACTGAGAAACAAGTCTTCTAACTCCTCAAAGTAAGATTGAACGGATCTACCATTCTGCTTACAATTGAGAAACTTCACTTTTGCTTCATCAAAGGTGTTAGTACCAGCATATCTTTCTCGCAAAGCGTTCCTCAAATCATGCCAATCATCCAAATTATAATACCAATGATGCGAATAGATATTTGAAACTAGCTTCCACCAATTCAAAGCACTAGAACAAAAACAACCTATAGCTAAGGCTATTTTCTCACTCTCTTTCTCTATGTTAAGCAATACAAATAAGTTCTCTATGCTCTTCTCCCAAGTATCATAGTCTCTATGGCAACCGTAAAACAAAGGCAATGACACTTGCAACATTCCAGCATACGAGGGTACTTTTTTTACTTCAAAACGATCACATAAGACTCCTAAATTCTCAAAACTGATATGATAATATCAATTAATGCCATCACTAAGATGGTCCAAGCTCTGATACGAAGAAACTGATAGCAATCTCGTAGATGAAGCAAATTTCGTTAATGCAACCATCAAACAAGAAAGTACGAAGATAATTTGTCTATCCCGTGAAACTCAAAAGAGTGCGGAAAATTCACAGTAAGACAATCGTTTATCTAAGTGATTTCTATCTCTTAACTCAAACCAAGCAAAGAACACTTTATCCATGAAAGATTCGAATTAAACAACAACGCACACTAAAAATAGCAAGGACACCATTCAATATACTCGATCAGTCATCATTCAAGAGACTCAAGAAAGGTAGGAGCAAACAATGCTCAACTATGAAGGAATATTATTGATTAATAATCTCCATAACCAACCAAGATATACAACACATACATTATCTCAAAATGCTTATGCCAAAGCACAACTCATCCAACAAAAGTAGGACAAACCCCACAATGGAACTCATGAACACACACATCATGAATTCGAACACCAAGCCAAAAGAAAGGCTCATCAATCGAACTACTAGAAGTAGTATGAAAATAAGAAGTTTAGTTTTAAAACAATTATATCAAGAAGCATACTTGAAAAAGAACGGTTTCTGGAAGATCAAAAGATCCAAGACAAGATGAAAACCCTCTTGGTTAAATCATACTTGACACGAAAAATGGACACATCATTTAATAAATTCCTCACAGGAAAAACTCTCAAAAGAGACAACAAAAATGACCACTCAAGGGTGCTTTTGATTTTCGGCCATGCCCCCTATTTATAGGCTTACGAAATTCGGCCAGCACCAAAAAAGAAGATCAATTAGGACTCTCTAATCTTATCTCACAAGGAGTAGAAGTAGAAGAGTATTTGATCTCTTTGACTCTATCTAAAATCTAGGAAACCTTATCTAAATGACTTATCCTCAATTAGGATAATATCTAGAAGGAATCTAAGACTCCTAATCAAAACACTCTAGCTTTATTCATCCCACATGGCTTATCTAACTAGATAAAACTTGAAAATTGACTCCTAGACTTAGACTAACTCTAATCTCGAAATTCAGCTCCCAAATTATTGAATTAAAATGTCTTGAACGCCCTTCCAAAAGTGGAATATTGGTCTTGTGCCCCTTAAGTTGTAGAAAACTCCAATTTACTCCAAAACTTGTAGAATTCTCTTTATTGACTCCAAAAGATTGGAAAAACACTTGAAACAATTAAGATAGTTTGTAACCTATCCAATTGTGTAGCAATGGACTCAATCTTGAACACTTTGATCAAATAGGCCGTCCATTCAAGAACCTAAATGACTCTTCTCACTAGCTTTGATCAATGATCTTCAGGGAGCACACAGAGTCAAACTCTTTTGATACTCTTGAGCACTTATTTCCATGAGGTCATCATCTCCTTTGGTTTGAACCCCAAAGTTAATAACATTCTCATCATCTTGATTATAGCTTTCTTGAACAAACTCCCTATCACATTGGTAGTCAAGAGCCATCCTTTCTTCCTTCATTGGCCTGCAAAGTAAACTTGGCATTCCAAAACTAGAATGAAGGATTAGCTCATTCCCCTCACTAGGAGAATCACCATGGAAGGCTACATGATTCTCATCACCTCCTTTCTGTCAAATCAGCAGCAGTGGTAACTCAACATAAGAAGCATAACAACAACAATTGCAACACCATGTTCACCATCAGCCTTTGTTTTCTATCCCTTTTTTGCTTTTTGGCCCATTTTCTTCACCAAATGCCACCTTAGTCCCTTGATCACCAAGAAATGCAAAACTAAATAAGAAATAAACTAATTCTACTTAATGTAGACTAATTTGCAAGTAAGAAGAAGTGAAAGTATCTTGCCAAAATATGTAAATTTGACACCCGTTAGCCCCCGATTTTCTTTTGTCAATAACCGTTGGGAGATTCTTTGATGGGCCGTCCAGATTCTAGTCGGTACTTGCATCCACTTGTCGATTCCAGTTGGTTTTTGTGACTCAATGAATTTGGATCCAGATCAACTGGGCATGAAGGTGGCATCCAATCCTATTGGTTGTTCTGGTTCAGTACATCAGGAATATTTGTAGTCCACCAAGATTGTCAGCTCTATATTGGCTGGAAACATGACATATCCATGCAAAGTATGTCTATATTTATCACATGAAAAGAAAATTGCTTGGAGGTCTTGATACTCCACTTTATACATCACATCATCTGCATCTACCATACCTTTCAATGGTCCTATTAAGTCTTATTAGGTGGCCACTCGAGCGTACATCCCCCTTAGAGCCAGTAGTGTGATCTGGTCGGGCTTGATGAAGACTCGGATGGATTTTGCAGTATTTTGGAAGAGATCTTCCTGAAAATATTCAATGGGAGGCTCCGACAATCATATCCATGCTGCCACAACGGAAAGGTTTTCTGCTTTTGGATTAAATTTTGTTGTCCATGGATACATTCTAAGTGCAATAAAATGAATAATATGAATATGCTAAAAATAATATCTTCGTGACAAATATTATAAGCATGCCATTTTTGAGAATTAGTGAAATGTCCAAAACTGTTGCTGAAAACTATTATTTCAATAATTTATCACAAAGGAAAAGGAAGAGAAAAAGAGCCGATGTTAGTTTATGTTGTTTCTGATGAAAACACTAATGACCAAGTCATATAACAGGTTCTAAGAAAAGATTCAGCATTAGATTGCTCAGACATAATCCACTCAAATTGGTAAAGGCGTTGTACTTAGTGTCAATATGAATAAGAAGAATCGATAAAAAGGTGAATTTGAGAAATAAAAAAAAAAAAAAAAACCTTCAAGTGCACCAAGATAAGGTTGAGAGTTTAATTTACAATGAATCACATACTCTAAAATCCCCTTATATATCATCAAAAACCATTATAATGCTTCAATTAGATATTAACAAGGAACACAGGATGTACTTTTCCATTTTCTTTTTTTTCAGGCTACTTGCACGAGTCCTCAAAGATCTAATCAAATTTCATCCTCTCGCATATCTTGTTTCCTCTTGGATTGCACGGTTGAGTCTAGCATCTCTTTCGCTCTCAAATTCTCAATAATAAGCATGTTGCAAGAGGGAAACCTTATCTGGATACTGATTTGAACTCTTTTTGTGAGTTTCAAGTTCTTCCACACCTTTGTTTTCATCCTTGTACTCTCCCCAGTCTTCTTCATCATGTCAAGTACGCTCAGCTTTGGCTTCTTTCTTATTTGTTCAAGAACAACGTCAACAACTGATGTAGGGCCAATAGACGCTTTGCCTTTATCAGAGTTGGCATCAATGAGCTTCTTCATTTCAACTTCCTCACCATCAAAGTCTCGTATTTCTTTGACCTACAGGGATGCAACAACAATAGATCTACACGAAGTATGAATGTGAAAGTTCAGTCATCAAACAACAAAGGAAAGAGAGCAACAATCACTCATGCAGCTGATAGTGTAACAAACTATCCGAGCTAGGGATAAGGCTGAAATTATTGCCAAACAAAAAGCATATTTAGAAATCAATTCTCTAACCTAATCCCATATAGATAATACTCCCTCCGTCTCACAAAAATAGTCCAGTTTAATAAAAAAGTTTGTCCCAAAAAAATAGTCCATTTTCACAAAAGTCAAAATTAATTGAATTGAAATGACTTAAATATCCAAAAGAGTAGTGGTAAGGAAAACAAGGTCCACTTCCTTTGATTTTCATTTTTTTCAGTTATCTCCCATTTTTTCATATACTTATATCTTTTAATACATGAATAATTAAAAAAACAATGTGTTATGTATCAAATTAATCTATGTAACGAGATCTTTCCATCAAGATCCATTGTCAATATTTTTTGAGATAAAAATTTTGATCAAATTTAAGTTGTAAAATAAATGTATATGTAGTTAACTTTTATAGAAATAACTAGAAGGGGCATTAGTGGAAGTTAGGGGCATAAAATGAGTTGTACATTTGGTATGTTGACCAAGTTAAAAAAGTTGTACATTTTCAAACTGGGCTATTTTTCTGGAACGGAGGGAGTACTATTCTGGGTAGTGTAGTCCAAAATGATAGGAATTAACTTTGGAATTGGCTTCTTGCGTTGGCCACAATATCAACCGAAGGCCAAGGAAAATCAGTAAATTAGAATCAAATGGTGCTTCTTATATCCAAGATATCATCACAACGTGAGTGAATTGCTTGTCATCAACAATGCCAAACTAACGAGTAAATTTTAAGGAGTTCACTTATAAACTAAATAGAAAATACAGTGAAAATAATCAATCCACGAGCTGAAGACCACGAATCAACAAATGACCCCACCTCAACGTTTTCTGGCCAGCTGCCAAAGTGCAAAATCTTTAACTGCTTGAAGAGCTGCAGCAGCCAGTTTGTTTTTATCATTGGTGGTTTCATTTTCTGGCTTTTTTTCCAGTTGTAGAGGCAGTGCTTGTGTCTCTTGTTATACCTGCCTCAATTGGCAATGCCCTTTTTGGTCCCAAGCAAAGAGCAGTTATCTAATATTGTGTATGCAAAGGAAGAAAGAAAGATTGTACAAGTTGATTTCACTCTAAAAACCATACACTTAAAGTACCCTCGGAGTTGAAATGACTACCTACGAGGAAGGTTTCTAAGAATTCAATTAGAGGTTGAATTATGCTTCTTTAAAATGGATTGCAGGTTCTTCCTTACAATTCCTTTATTCATCTGCTGCTAGACCGCTTCTACCCGACTCATGTTCAAATGATATAAGAGGAGACAACTTCAAGTGGCTTAACAGTTTGACAAATAATTCAACCAAAAGACCATAGTAGATGAGTCCAAAATTAAAACGATAGATGATATTCACAAACTCCATCTTTTTCACATGAATTTTAAGGAGCCAATACATCCCAAAATTCCATGGAAGCAGACACTTACAATTTGAGCTCTAACAATGATATATACCCTTGTGTTGTTGACGCTGATGCAAATTCTGATCCAACTATAAGTATGAGAGTAGCTTTCAGGCAAAAGATAGAAGAGACAATCAAGGAACTATTCCCTTCGTGACATAAAAATAACTTGCATTGTAAATAAGAACTTGTTATTTTTAGTATAATTTAAAAATGATAATGTGGACTACTTTTATACATAAAAGGCGGTGGCAGGAGTTCACTTTAGGGACCTAAATCAATTCTAAACTGTATTATATCAAATTAAAGCCTCCAAACTTATCTTACAATCATTAAACTAAACTATATGTCAGTAAACTATACAAAGTGCTAAAAGTTCTCAGCTAATTCCAAGTTTCTAAACATGATTGGAACCGAACAAATTCATCATGGTATTTTGACATATTCCCAATATCTAGATATAATTGAAAACACTTTGTCGATTTGCAATTAGAAAAAGAATCCAGACAACAAAAAGAAATTCGAGAAGTACTTTAGCAGTCAAGTAAGCTTTACCAAGCGGAGCACTTTAAATGCAAAGCCGTTAATACCAAGGTTTGTTCAAAAGGAAAGTGACAAAACAAGGCCCTTAGAATAATTAACAAGTTGAAAGATGCCAATGCGTATTAGCTTTCCCTATTTGTTGAGAGGTACAACATAGTGCTCGTAATATTATTTACAAAAAAAAAATTGTGATTTCACAAGCGTCGGTCTTCTTAACTCCCTCCCTAAAACTTTTATCACAGAAACTAATCAAATTCTCAACCCAATACAAAAACATTTGTAGAAAATGAACACTATAGATTATGAGCATACTTATGATCCCCAATACTGACTCTTTATATTAGTGCCAAAAGCAAAAGTCAACTTGGAGTCATCTTTTTAATTCCTTTTAAATCACAAGACCTACATTCATGTACTCCTAGATAAAATATTACACCTCCACTCACAAGTTTAATTTTCAAACCAAGTGAAAAAATTATGATATATTCAGCATTGCGTTTTTGACAAAAAAAAACAATACATGGAATAACATGCAAAGGGAATTATCCGACATTCTCATTTTTTAAGCACAAAAACAACCCCAGTAATTTCACCATTGTGATTCTAGAACTTCAATACAATGTCAAAAATCATCCCCATAATCACTCAACACAGGCTTTGCTATCAAGAACAACCCAGGCTTTCAAACAACATTAATTTAGGAAGCACATGCATAACAGGGAAAAAGCTCAGTATGGGAAAAGAAAACCATACAAGACCTGAATATAGATTTCTAGAGGGGTTAACAGCACCTTCGTCAAATTGATTGTTGCCGCCTCGACAGAAAGCTGAATTGAGACTATCCATATCATCAAAACTCTACTACCATATTCTATATTCAATGTATACATCCTTCAGAAGGTTCTTAAATATTACATATAGTTGGAAGCAGAGCCATTGCTGATAACAGGGAATAATAGGATTAAAATTGACATCAAAATAAAAGACCAATAATTTAATAGATAAAGAGATCAGTCAAAACTCAATAGATGGAACCCAGCTTTCTAAAAATCAAACGCAAAATTGGTGTCTATCTTCATCGTGGTCACTATATTACAAGTGTAAACAAACATAAAAGGTCCAAAATTGCACGTGAAATAGGACATATCTTGCTAAGTGCTAACTTACTGCATGGAATTCTTCAAACCAGTAAAGTCACAGATCAGCAAAGCCAAGGTCAGTTAATCAAATAGAGAACCAGCCCTCTAAAACCCTGGGTTTTTGATGGCTTCAAAGTATAAATTTGAATTGTAATTCAACGCATATGCTGAAGCAGTGAGACTACCAACCAAGCATAACTCGGCCTCACATAATCCATGTGTCCCATATGTTCTTTAACTTTGGTATCATTAATGGTAATCCACAAAACCCCTTCAAGCAAGTGATAAGTTGAGCCAATTCCGAAACCAATCAAATTACGAAACCCTGCACTATAACAAGTCGAATTAAAACTTCTCAAGAATTTCAATAGAACACAAACAAATGTAAAAGAATTTTAAGAAGAATAAAAAAAACCTTACGGAGCTTAATGACAAGTGTCTTTTGGGGCTTGTTAAGTATTTTGTACTTATTTGTACATAGAAGTTGATTTGTATAAACTTGAATTAGGATCAGGGGTTAGTTTGTACGTAACTAGAAAATGTGGGGCAGAGTGTAAACGTACATACTTAGGTCAGTTGATTAGAGCAGTATAAATGCGGATCATTGTCTGTATTGGACACATTAATCAACTTTCTTTCATTCAAGATTTCGTCTGCAGGATTAGATCCTGCTCTATGCCGATCATTTTCAGGTGATCGAAAAATTCAAGAATCTCCAGTTATCAGTTTCAAACCCTAGATCGAACAATCAGCTTTGTACGAAGTTCCAGATCGACAGCAATGGTAGCACGGGGAGAAGGAAATCGTCAAGGAGGAACAGATCAAGATGTAGGAGACATTGTCGTTGCGCACAGAGGAGGCAGTTATTATCATCTTTTGATGTTGCATCCTTCCAATAATTCATCCAAAGCTATTGTCAACACAAAGCTTAACGAGATGAATTACGTGCGTCGAGTCATGCGATGCGTCGTTTCCTGGGAGCAAAGAGCAAGTTAGGGTTTATCAACAGCACTACAGCAGAACCAGAGATTGGGGATTCACAGTATGAACAGTGGCACAGGGTCAACGATACTGTTGTTTCGTGGTTACTAAACCTAATTCCACCAGAGCTTGTAGAGAATTTTGATCTTGCAGATAGTGCAAAGGACCTGTGGGACGAATTGAAAGGTAGTTATGGTAACAACAATGGTCCACAAATTTATCATTTGCGTAGGGAGGTTGCAACAATAGCACAAGGAAATCTTACTTTTGTAGGATACTATTCAAAATTGAAGAGGTTCTAGGATGAATTGCATTGTGTTGATCCACTAGATGAATGCAGTTGTGGTATAGTCAAGAATCAGAACAGGGAAAATCGATACAAATTGATGGAGTTTCTAAGTGGCTTGAATGATTCCTATTCAGCTATGAGGAGCCAAATTATGATGATGGAACCACGTTCGGATGTAAACAAGGCATATTCAGTGGTGTTGAATATTGAGAAACAGCAAATGGGAAGTAGGATTTATTCATAACCATTTGATCAAAGTGTTATGATGGTTCAGAAAAGAGTATCTGGAAAAAATGGAGCAGGAAATGGTTCAATCAATGGAATGACGCAATTCAAGAGCTTCAATAAAGCAGGCAATAATCCAGGCAAGCTTCAACAACAATAACTATGGGAATAACTGTCAAATGACAAACAAGATTGGGAAAGAAGAACCAGTTAAGGATGGACAATGCTACAAAGAGGTTACTAAAGTGTGAAAACTATGGATTCAATGGATATTTGAAGGAAGGGTGTTTCAAATTGATAGGCTATCCTGACTAATGGGAAGGCAACATAGAAAAAAAAAAAAAAAAGAAGATGTGGAATAACAAATAGTTAGCAAATATACCTAAAACACCACTTGAATCAAACATGGGGACATGAAATTCAAAGGATGGCTAATTAACATCTATGATGAATAACACGAAGATCATGCAACAGAAGATGGCAAAGCTGATGAAAGGAAAGCACGCTTTAGGAGATCAAGTCAATTTCATTCATTATCATGACTTTGCTGGTATGAGTACTTATTTTGCATTGAGTGCACTCAATTTGACTGAACAACGGCTGCTTAATCTTTGGTCTCTAGATACCGGAGCAACTTGGCATATGGTAGCCTTGTTGAAATTGTTCTCCTATTTCAAACGTGTTTCTTATTTTACTCCAGTAACCTTACCAGATGGTAGTATCAAATCAGTTGAGCATATAGGCACAACCAAACTTTAAGATTCCTTAGAAATCTCATATTGCTTACATGTTCCTTCTTTCAAATATAACTTCATGTTAGTCAATAAGCTTGTAGTTGCCTACATTGGCTATTTCCTTTCCACCACTTTGTGCTTGTTACAGGACCAAGTGACTAATAAAACAGTTGTTATTGGACAGGTCCTTAACTGGTTTTATGTTCTGAACACAATTTCCTTTTCAGCCTCAGTCATCAACAGCTTTATCACTGCCAACATCAACCATACTTTTGTGGCACAAATCACTCTTGTGGATCATCATTCTTCTAATTTAGTATCTAGTACAGATGTTACTAAATGGCATCAAAGATTAGGACATGCTTCTTATCATGTACTGAATAAACTAGAGTTGTCATCTTCTTATAAGGATGAAGATAGAAATTGTTTTACCTGTCCTCTCTCCAAACAAACTAGATTTTCATTCCCTGTAAGTACCATTCAAACCAATGATGTTTTTGAATTAGTTCATATTGATTTGTGGGGACCCTATAAACAAAAATCTCTTAATGGAGCTTATTATTACTTGACCATTGTTGATGACTACAGTCGGTCCACTTGAACTTTTTTA